ATAGTCCATAAAGGACAAAGGGAAACTCTGAAGTATATTACAGATGATTCAGACAATATGTATGCAGTTTCATTTTCTTTGAAGTAATAAAACTTATTTGGAAGGAATGTAGAGTGACTGTCAAGGCCCATATACTTTAACCTTCAAACATTAACTGTCAATGGCAAGTGCACAGCAAAATGGTCATTTCCTTTTATTTGCGCAACCTGTTGAGTTTTTCCTTCAACTGACAAAATATATTCCATAAACTCTTTGCGAGGACAATAAATTTGCATGCATTTTTGTTTGTCAACAGTAAGGATGGATGTTGACATAATCCAAGTTGTGGCAATGAATTCAAAGAGTCATGAACAAGTCTATTGGACAGGATACATTGAAGAACAGCAGGGGTTTGAAGATAGGTAACATACAGCATCTTGTTAAAGCATAATGCCTGGGCCAATAATGGTTATTCTAACATCACTGATTGCATTGAAATGAGCGGTATTTCTTTTCTTAATTTTCAAATAAGTTTCAGACACAGTTACAGTCTGTATTCAAAACTGAGGAGGAGACCTTATCGAGAAGGTAAAACTAATTAAAGGAATTAAGCTGGATCTGCAAAAGGAGCAAAATAGCCACCATTTTACATGAAAGATCATACATTTGTTTATAGAATGTTTATAACTTAATGTCTTATGTTGAATTTAACAATCACTTTCCAGAAATGGAAGCAATGTGCAGTTGGGCAAAAAAAAAAAAAAAAAAAAAGCAGTGTGTTGAAAAATCTGATGAAAGCGTACATTTTTTTAAACCTCTTTCACTCCGGAGTTGCCATTGGAGTGATCATGGCACTGCTCTCACCTTGCCTTAAAGGGCATTACATCTCTAAACCCATCCCCATTTAGGTTTCCTAATTTGCAACGAAGTGTTAATTTGTTCAGTGGCGAGGATCAATGCCTATCCATTTCCCCTCAGCTTGCATTATTGTTCAAGCAGTTTCTGATCCACACTAATGGTAGAATTAGTTGTAAAATAACACGTCAATGTCTTACGAAGCTTCTGAATTCCTGCACGGTATTTTTTTTTTCTTGCTGCGTATGCATCCGAACAGCTATGCCTTATACCCCTTTTCTACCGAGCTGGTTCCAGTGCTCGTTCGGAGCCAGAGCCTGACTTAGCGCCGGTTCTTTGGTTTTCCACAGCCTAAGCAACAGCTCCTGGCTCTCAAAACTGGTGCCAGACCAAGCACCAATTCACTGCTGGTCTAGAGCCAAGCACCGATTAAGTCAGGGAGAGGAGGCATAGTTTTAATAACCAACAAAACCAGTGCAAATACTGTACCAGCGTTTTTAAAAACGCCGAGCGAGTGTAGTCTGCTTTCGTTTTCAAACAAAATGGAGAAGGCTAAGCCAAAAACATTCCCAATATACTCCCATTGTAAGAAATTGGTCACACTTCCTGCCTCCTAAGTGGACGCGATCGCGGAAGTATTTTGAGCGTTCTGCCCACAGTAAATGTTGCAATATACAAGTATCTGTTTTCTATCTTCATGATGCGTTTATATTTCATTTTACTTTTCTTCGTCAGGCATTTTTCTCTACGCCGCTAACGTTTATATTAAGAATTACGAATATGAGTTAGCTGGCTAGCTAGGGCATTCGCAAATTACTATCATTGCCATTAGCCAGCTTGAAGGACATTTCAAAACGAAACGGCATTAGATCATTCAAACTTATGAAGCTGGAATGAAATACGGCACTCGCTCATTTATTTCTGACCTGTCTGCATCCTTAGGAAAAGAAAATATGGATAGCAGATTCCTATTAGTACACCCTATTGCTGCATGTTTTGGTATTTTTAACATGCATGGACAGCAATGCAAGATACGGTTCACATATTCTGTTTGCGCCTTATTTTGCCGCTTTTTAGATATCTGATATTTACCCAGTACAAGATCAAAGCAATCTAGTAGGTTATATTCCTTTCCCCCTCTAAAAACGATAAAACCTCAGTGACAATAATAGTATTACTAGCGTAGAAACACAAGTGACAATAATAGTATTACTAGCATAGAAACACAAGCATTATTTCAGTTTTAAATTTTTATTTGTGGTTTCCCGCAGTCCATACTGTATTTCTCTATTGCCAGATGTACTGACGTTATACGATGACGTAATCGAGTGGCTCCGATTTGGCTCCTGGGTGATGGAAAAGCAAACAGGTTCTTAGGAGGCGCGTGGGTTGAGCCAACCAAGCACTAGCACTAGCACCAGCACCAGCACAGCACTAGCACCAGTACCAGCACAGCATTAGCACCAGGTTCTTTTTGGTGGAAAAGGGGTATGAGAAAACCTTTCTAAAAATGCGGGTTTGCTGACTCAGGCCTGCGTGTAAAGGCTGCTCACATAAAAATAAAACTCTGTTTAATAATACACTCATTAAAGACTGCAGAAATTAATTTACATTGTTATATTATTAAAATAAAATAAAGCCTAATGTGGTAAAATTAATAAAATAATGTTTTTTCATTTATTTTTACGCGCTATTTAAAAATAATTAACAACTGTTCCAGTAACAGACTTCTAATTTGCAATCAAAAAGCCTACAGTGATGGGAGGTCAAAATGACCTCGCGGCCGCTCTAGGAGGTACTGCATTGTCGGCCATTCTAGTGTTAACCTAATTAGTTGCAAAATTCTCCTCCAGCTGTTTTTGATTGGTACCACTTACCAATTTTCCAGCCTTTTGTTGCCCCTCTCCCAACTTTTTTGAGATGTGTTGCTGCCATCGAATTCAAAATGAGCCAATATTTTTCATGAAATGGTAAAATTTCTCACTTTCAACATCTTACATGTTGTCTATGCTCTATTGTGAATAAAATATCAGTTTATGAGATTTGCAAATGATTGCATTCTGTTTTTTATTTAGCTACATTTTACACAGCATCCTAACTTTTTTGGAATTGGGGTTGTTGCACACAACTCACATAATATTTAATAAAGCCTTGAAAATGGCCTGACATGCACATAGGCTTTTCTTTTAACTGCATCTCAAAAGACAGGTAAGGTGTGTGTAAATGCCCAATCCAAACATGACGAAATGTAAACTGGGCCAGGCACTTTTGAGCAGAGGGTTGATGCGACTTGAATCCAATTTGCTGATGGTTTGGTCTCATTTAACAAGTCAAACACTGGGGAGGCCGCATACCACGTTGTTTAGGGTCGTTTGTAACAATGCTGGAACAGACTGCGACACAGATTCACAGGTTCATGAGCCACTGTTATTGCACCCGTAAGCAAATGACTGATCCTTATTGTTGTACCCCCGCTACGAAGTAAGCGGGGGTATATAGCGGGCCGCCCGTCCGTCCGTCCTTCCGTCCGGGGTCATATCTCAAAAACCGTTGGAAATATTTCGACCAAACTTTGTACAATCGTGAACCATGTCACAAACTACGCATCCAGTCATTTTCAGCTTTCTGGGATGTCAATTTTCTGACGTTTCCATGGAAACGTCACATTTTCTACTTTATTCTATAGTGGACAATGGGGACAAGTTTTCTCGGAAACTACTACACCTAGATGAATGAAATTTTCTTTGTAGGTACTCCTGACAATACTCTTGAACAAGTTCGAAACCAAGTTCCGAAACTTTATTTTTTACGGAGTTATTGCCCTTGAATCTTTGATTCGGCTTACTGCAAAAATCCGCCGGGATGCATCAATGGGGACAAATTTTCTCGGAAACTATTACACCTAGATGAATGAAATTTTGTTTGTAGGTACTCCTGACGATACTCTTGAACAAGTTAAAAACCCAGTTCGAAACTTTATTTTTTACGGAGTTATTGCCCTTGAATCTTTGATTCGACTTAGTGCAAAAAATCCACCGGGATGCATCAATGGGGACAAATTTTCTCGGAAACTATTAAACCTAGATGAATGAAATTTTGTTTGTAGGTACTCCTGACGATACTCTTGAACGAGTTTCGAAACCCAGTTCGAAACTTTATTTTTTATGGCGTTATTGCCCTTGAATCTTTGATTCGACTTAGTGCAAAAATCCACCGGGATGCATCAATGGGGACAAATTTTCTCGGAAACTATTACACCTAGATGAATGAAATTTTGTTTGTAGGTACTCCTGACGATACTCTTGAACGAGTTCGAAACCCAGTTCCGAAACTTTATTTTTTACGGAGTTATTGCCCTTGAATCTTTGATTCGACTTAGTGCGAAAATTGGCTGGGACGCGTCAATGGGAACAAGTTTACTCGGAAATTACTACACCTAGATCAATGACATTTTCTTGTGGGTACTCCTGACGATACTCTCGGCGAGTTTCAAACCGAAGTTACTTAAACTGTATTTTTACGGAGTTATTGCCCTTGAATCTTAATTCAACTTAGTACGAAAATCGACAGGGAGGCATCAATGGAGACAAGTTTGTACACTAAATGGACCTTTTTGGTACTTGATTTGAGTATGACTGCATATTACATTTCCATAGAAGCGTTATTTGCTATTGACATTCATTGAGCGACAAATGGGGAGCGGGGGTACGTGAGCTTTGCTCGCTTTTTTCTTGTTTGCTTCATTGAGCATCCAGCTGTGTAAATCATCTGTAAAAGAGTATGTGAGTCATACACTCTTGAGGATGGCATCTTTCTAATGGCCGACATGGAAGGTCATACTATTGTAAACTATGTAGTTCATACACATTCCACAGTCATTCACCGCAAGCATATTGAAACAAGAACATGACTCAGTGCCCAGACAACATCGTGGGTAGATATAGACAGTCTTCGGTCACAGCGGGGAGATGATCAGTCAAGCGTGTGAAACTAATGGAGTGTATACGAGCATATTCTGCCATTTGACTTTCAGATATTCAGAATTAATGTTAATAATTCCTAGTCACTGCTCAAGAACTCCACTGCAATAGTTGCCGCTTCAGCAGCGTTGAGATGTTCCTGAAAGAACATTCTTATCACGTTTGCATGATCTTACTCCATTCAAAGTTAAGGTGGTGCAGTGGTTAGCACTGCTGCCTCAAAGCAAGAAGGTAGCGGGTTCGCATCCGGCCTGGGGCCTTTCTGTGTGGAGTCTGCATGTTCTCCCCGTGTTCGCATGGGTTTCCTCTATGTACTCAATTTCCTCTCAAAGTCCAAAGACATGTATGCTAGGCTAACTGGAGACTGTAAATTGCCCATTGGTATGAATGAATTGTGTGTTGACATAGCCGAAAAATTGCTGAAAGTGTCATGAAAGAATCAATCTTAAGTTGGTGTTCTAATGAAAGGTCGTCCAGCCTGTGACCAGAGGCCTGCTGTAGGACCACGAAGTACAGATGTCTGATAGCAGAGGAAGTCGCTCTCCTCAGTGCTCTGATTCTTCAGTCTCTTGATGCAAAATTTTTTTTTCTCCTGTGATGTAAACTCACAGAATCTATGGAGGCAGGCCTTCCTACCCTATACCAAGCCTCGCCACATCTCTACATTTCTCTTTCACAACTGAGTCAGCTTTCCCCCCCTCATTCCTAAGCAGATCACTTGTTTGCACCTTCTTTGTACTTCATTCGTAAGTAAAATATCAAATGGCTGTTACTCCGCTACATTAATCTGTCTTTCTTGGCAGTTTTCACACCTTGTTTTGCCGGGGCTGTGATATTTCTCAGGGTTATCTTCCGGTTTCACACCAAGACAGCGTGTTTCGCAAAGTGAGCTCGCGCCGCAATATCCAAGGGTGAAGCTCGCCCTGTGTCGTGTGATATGTTCGTTAACTGAAAAATTCATTAGCTTTGATACAGAGCGTAGTGAAACCGCTGAGTGATTATTTTGACTCTCTCGCCTTCTGAAAGAAATCAGCCTCCACTCTCACAACCCTCTCTTCTCTGACATTTTGCCTACCTGTGGTTCTCATTGAGACATGCAGGGGTACGTTTCCTAAAGCACAGATGCTAACTTACATAGTTGAAACCATTGATTGTATTTGGTCACACTATGCAAGTTGCTAACTCTGCTTTTGGGAAACATACCCCAGTTTAGTTATGACTGGATTCTTCATTAACAGAAAACTGTAGTCACTGCCACTCAGATGGTCGCTGAGTCTTTTACTGACTGATGGAGTACAGCTTGTATGTTACTGAAATGAATGCAATGCAATGCATCGATTTTTGGTTGGAAACAGAAAATGATAAAACAATAAGCATCTAGTTTAAAAAAAACGTGTGTATGTCCAGGGGGCAGTAGTGCATCCCTCTGCGCCATTAAGCTGTCCCTATACACAGACAACTACTCCTGAATTAAGCACCAACACCCAGAACTCCTGCATTCTTAAACCATCCCTTGTACGCTCCTTCATGTATGTATGTATTCATGAACCCCATAATTGTCCCAAGAGCGATAATTAAGCACTATGATGAGAAGAAAATAAAAACTATAGGACACAAATGCTTGTGGAAATCTGAAGACACAAATTAAAGGAAAAGGCTCAGTAAACAACTGATAGTGAACTGTGTGTTTGGCTTTATGTCTGTTCTGTTTCTTGGGCGTTATATAGGCGATATATTCATGGAAATTATTCAGAGTTGAATTGATCCACAGCATATTGGGATGCACGATGTTTGAATATCTGAGCTGAGCAAATGCTGCGTCCAAGACCCTCGACTGCTGTGGACTGTGTCAATACCCCAGTGCTCCCCACAGTTCACGGTTCACTGATTTCAGACACCAGTTGTGACGCTTTAAAGGCTGTGACAAATATAGCCAGCTGAGAGGGCAGAGTCAGAGGTAGCGGTTGGTGTTTCTCTGTGGCTGTCGAGGGTGTGACAAGCTTCTACTGCTGTGATTTAGTAGAAAAATCCTCACTTCTTGTGGCAATGCAATGGCCAGCCACCCACCTGTTGTATCCAAAGGCCACTGCAGTATGACTCCTTCTTTCTCCACAGTACACCTGTGCGTCCACCTTAAAAAGTGCTCTGCTTTACCTGTCAGGGAATGGAGGTCTTGTGGTAACCACCATGTCAGTTTGTGTTGATAACTTTCATGTTGCGAATAGTATAACTGCCTTCCACCCTGTACAAGATTAAATCAATGGAGCATGCTCCCCGTGTGTGCGTTTGAGCGGGGCAGTGTTGCTAAGCAACTCCCTGTGAACAACCATCCACCGTCTGTCTCTGTGTATTTTTCTGAGAAAATCTCATTCTCTGATGTTCAAGTACACTCATACTCAAACAAAATACCCACAAAAACAGAGACACACAGTCACAAAACGGGACAACGTGCGCTGATTTTCACACAAACACAACACTTTGCACGTGCAGACAGCCACACACGCGCACACACAAAGTAATCACACATATGAACACAGATTAAACCACACCTGTCAGGGGGTTTATTCCTGTTTACTTAAAGGGAACCAAACCCCAAAAAACAAAGATATTTCAATTAAAAGAGGAATTTTCACTGATTATAACGATGTATGTAACCTCCTACCAAAATACATCAGAGAGATCTAAATTGTGATTTTCTTATCGTAATTCCAGCCCTCTGTACAGCCACGCCTCCAACCATCCAGCTCACTGGTCTACTAAGACCCGGACTGCATTTCATTCATGATTCAATTATCTCTTGCACCTGTTTCTCATTGCCACTGGGTGGTAGCAGAGTGTATTTAAGACCCATTTTCACTTAGTTTCACTGTGAAGGCTCGTAAATCCATGCCTGTTGGGCTTTGTTAGTCTTTTTTAGACTTTTTCTCCGTATTCGCAAATCAAAACTCTAACTCTTTAAGTTTAGTGCTGTCTATGTTTATTTCAGCACTTTATTATTAAAGGGGACCTATTATGCTGATCATTATTTTAATAAATACAAGAAATGTTATAATGTTGGATGCCCATACTCAACCTCTGTAAAGTTTCTAAGCATAGGATACAGGGGTTTTGCCGTAATCCGAGAACGTGATTTCCTGAACGTGATTTCCTCTCTGAACAGCTCATCCTGAGATCTTCACGAGATCTGGGCAAAACCTGACGTCAGGTTGTATCGTCCAATTAATACAGACCTAGCCAGAGCCTATCACGGCGCTGGACCTGCCCAACCTGGAAACTATTCTAGCAGGCACAAACAATCGCGGATCATATTACGCCTTAGTAGCGTCTACACTTCCGGAAATACAAAAGAAGAAGAAGAAGCCCGCGGATCATTTGAGGTGCAGTTTTGTCAATATGTCTTCCAGAGCTGCTTGTCCATGTTTTTTTGGGTGCGAAAAAAAAGCACAACTATTTTCTCTTCCAAAACAAGATGCCACCAGAAATCAGTGGGTAGCTTTTTTTTTTGATGGCGGCAAACAGCCACACTCAAAGGGAACATTAGCTGTTTGTGGTCGGCATTTCACCGAAGACAGCTTTGTCAATAAAGGATAATTCAACACGAGATATGCGTCTCAGTTGCTTCTCAAACCTGGAGCAGTTGCATCGATCAAGCGCTCGAAGCCACAAGCTGTAAGTAACGATATAACAGCAAATAATACAAGTGAAGCTAAAATGTTAAGGGTGGCTAACAGGACCGGTAACGACAGTTAGCACTAACAACTGGCCTCAAACGCAAGCTTTGTAAAATATCTGAGGATAAAGCCTGGATCGGTATCGACTCCGTGACTCACAGACACGGAAGCAGTAAGTTGCTTTACTGCATAAACCTACCTAACGTGATAGCCTGTTGAATGTGGCTGTAGCACTGCAGCTAACATAGCTAAGTTACTGTTGCTAATGTTTGTGTCCTAAATATGCAAGAGTAATATCAGGGGACATTCAACAGAAGGTGTGTGAAAATAAACCTCATTTGAAGCTAACCTTTTATACCTGTTTGTAATTTGGATGCTTAGTACATCTGTTCACGGTAACGGAACATACTGTCTGTAAAACCTGTATTGCAGGGTAACGTTTGTCTCTGTCGTTGTTATGACCACTCGGTTACTAGCTACGGCATGTTACTTTGCGTGCCGTGCTACTTAAAAAAATGGTTAACTTATATACAGTCATTCTGATCAGAATGCTTGTGTTACTTTGGTTAGCATCAATGTGGCAGTTTCATCTTAACGTTGCCTGATTGTAGCCATTACAGTTGAAGCTACCTGGAGAGGTGTTGTATGTGTCTGCAAAGTTGGGCTGAAAAGGCTGCGGTTAGACCAGACATAGGTTTAGCAGAGCTTGGGGTACGTGTTTGGGTTTGTTTACTGCTACTGTGAAACGATCGTTTTACTTATCCATGACCGGGGTCAGCCGAGTACTTCGGAAATATGTGGGCTAGCTCTCTGATGCTACTGCGGTGAAAGCAATTGCGAAACACACAAGCCATAATGTGTCTGGTACAACAAACAATTTATCTGCATTGCCGCGGCAGAATTTCATCCCCCTTTAAAATTGTTCTGGCTAATAAAAAGGCGAAAAAGGTGGAGATTGGATTCATAATTCTTTCCTGTTCAAGTTATTGATTTGCTAGCTCCACATTAGCAATGCTTATGCTGTTTGTGTGTGTTTTGCTATTCAGTAGCTCATTCAGTAGCTTGGTGTCAGAACTGTGCTTCGTTCAGGTAGAAATGGTCATCAGGAGCTTTTAGCAAAGTTTCTTCCGGATAAGTGGGTATATAACATGACTACATAACAATACAGCTACAACCATATGCATGCAAGTCGAGACAGTCCGAGCAAAACACTAAAATTTCGACTTTCCACTCATTGACATTCTGCTAAACATTGCTGCAACACTTCAATAGCAACCTCCTTCCGTCCGGGGTCGGATTTGGGATCAAACATGTTCGGTCTTACAGCAATAGATGCCACGTAAAGCTGTCCTGAAATACCTGCCGTCTTGGTTTCCTGGTTTTTCGAGCCTGCACCCCAGAATCGAAGCGGCCAGTCGGCCAATCAGAGCAGCGCCTCATTAGCATAGCCTCCCCGCCCATTTCAAAACAGCTTGTGTTTCAGGCCAGCACAGACGGGGCTCTAAGCCTGGATGTGTGGGGGTTTTTTTGTGACTGAATTCTTAACATTATTTTAAAGACCCATTGGACATATTTTAAGTGACTAAATAAAGCATAATAGGGGACCTTTAAGGAACCTTGTTTCCTTTTGTTTTCCAATTTGTAACACATTGTTACTGTAGCTAAAGCCCAGAGTATGTATTACTTATAGTGTTAAAGGAACCTCGTCTCTATTTTGTTTTGTATTGCAACTGCGACAGTTGATGGGTCCTGTCACTAGAGATGCCTCCTAATAAGTGTAAGCCCTAGTTACCTTGCCATCGAGCCTGGCTCTTTGGCGATGTGGTCAGCGCGTGATGTGTGACTCTAACCCGGGAGTCTGGGGTTCAATCCCCCGCCGGGCCCTCCTTTAGCCTGCTACACAACGTTTGTGCCTGCTGTTGTACAGTAGGCATAATAAATACAACCAAGTCCACCTGAGTCCTGTCCTTATCTTCCTGTCCTCCATGCATCTGAACTGTGCACAAAGCACAATTGTTACACCCTCTCAATGTAGGCTGGAGCCACCATCATTGTGAGGCTTCCCTGATTCGGTGACTCGTTGTGCATAAATGCGTTCTTCAGCCCTTAATTAGTCAATGTTATTTTAGGACAACTGTCAGTTAGTAAACTAAATTACTTTGTTTTGTAATTTGGGTTATTTGGTCAAAAAGTATTTTATAACCAAAGGAATATAAAAAATTTCAAGAAAAAACAAGATTTTTTTTGAAATATCAAGCAATATTTAATGGGATGGGATGAGAACTGCGCTAGCTCGCATGCTGATGATTTTCGCCATTAAATTGATAAATTCAAGCATCTACCATAACAGTTACACGTGTAACTCATGACTTTAATGGCCAAAAGTGTTAACATGCTAGCTAACTAATTATTTATCCCATAGACTTGGATAGATGGTTGGCATAATGATTAAACAATGATCGCGCGCAAACAACATTATAGTTTTACGTGAGCTACGTCACATTTTCGGGGGGGTCGAGACAGAACGCAAGAAGATGGCCGCATCCGTATGGAGCAGATGACACAAGCAGTTTGATATTTTTGTACCTTTCAACAAGCTCTCGCCGTGGACTCAAAGCACCAAATTTGATGATCGATTTATCAACTTAAAAAGTTCACTGTCCTCGAACATGTGATGTATAGAAATTTCCCGAGGTTTGGTTCCCTGTAATGAGGAGTTCAGGGAAAAGTACCAATACTGGGCCAGTTCCGATCTGAGTGGTGTATTAGTAACTGCTAATGCTTGTAAATGTAAATAAATGTAAACAATCTTTGTGCTAACTCTCTCCCCTCAGGCTGTAGTCATCTCTCTATTCCCCACAGGTCATACTAATCCATCTCTCCTCTTTAAATGAACTCTTTGCAATGAGGAACCATTTTCTTTCCCTCAGGACAACAGCTGTTGTGTGTTAGAATGCATAATTCGATTTACTTTTTCTTGAAAAACTATTTCACAAGTTTTTTTTTTTTGCTGCATGATTTGAAAAGCACATATTGCTGATCACAATCACTAAAAGGCAGATAAATGTGCACAACAGTAAAAAAAAAAATGGATTCCATGAACACAAAATAAAGTTTTAAAATGATCGATTTTTACTGAGTGGAAAAAACAACTCCAACTGGCCCTGAAGGAAAAGAAGATACTGCCCCCTTAGTTACTCAGTCAGCCAAATTTAATTCATAATAGGATAAACTGGATTACTAGACATTCTAGACACACCAGGGTTGATTACTGCCATCCCTCTTGAATCGAAACATGACTTAAATTAAGCCTTTGAAATAACATGAATTAGATCAGCGTTTCTCAAATTATTGACTTGCTGCTCTGCGGCTTTGAGCCACAGTGCGGTCACACATAATTCATGACGGATTGCAGAGAGGTGTGGGCTAACTTTAACAAGGATTTGTGGGACAACAAAGAGCTTCACTCTGAATAAACTCTCAGTCCTGACTTGCACTCAACTGAGGTGCTGTAGCAGCAACCTCAATGGACAGTTTACACACAAAAACTTTCCAAGCTGGCTGAATTATACTCTTTGAACTCTTTCAAGCAAATCTGTAAAGCAGAAGTACTTATTTTTACCCAGAATGAACCAGTGTGGGCACAGGCTTTTATTACAACCAATCAGTTTCACATTTGATTCAAATAATCAACCCCTAGAGATTTTACTAAAGACCTTGATTAGGAGAGTAAGTGTAAGTGGTACCTTACCTTGACCGAAGGTACCTTGACCGAAGGGGGAGGGGTATTGTTTTTGGTGGCCTATGTTTGTTTTTTTCATGCCTTTCAGCAGTTTTGTGCAAAAAGAGTTTCATAAAACTTCACAAAAAGTTCAGGAATGGTCTGCAATGGTCCAAGGACCACCTAATTAAATTTTGGACCTGACTGGGTTAAGGTCAAGGTCACCGCAAAACAGAAAATCGTTTAAAACGCCTCCCTCAGGTGAAGTGCTCTGCCTGGCTAGAAAAAGTCAAAGCCCGCTTTAGCTTTGATCATGGGGCATATTCATCATGGTACTGTTTTGACAACTTTATGCAATGTTACAACATTCATTTTTGAGCCTCAACCTGACCAATTGGAGCAACCCAAGATCATAACACTGCCTCCAGAGGTTTGTACAGTGGGCACTATGCATGAAGGGTGCATAGCTTTACAGGCTTCCTTTCTTAACTGACATGCCCATGGCTCTGGAATACAGTAAATCTGGAATCATCAGACCATGTGACCTTTTTTATTACCCCACAGTCAAATCTTTACAATCCCTAGCAAACTGAGGTCATATTTTCCCAATTATCCTCACTGACGAGTGTCCTCACTAACTTGTGTCCTTCCAGGTTTAAACGATTTGTTGGACAGTTCGTCACCAAATTTCATTGATTTTAGCTATATCCTTGGCCGTTTTCTTTGCTTGATGCAGGCCAATAATTTACCCCTCTTGAAACATGGTAACATCTTTTCCATGACCATGGGATACATCTCCCGTTATGGTTGTTTCAGAAATGAGAAGCTTCACACAGCATCAGTCAGGGTAAAACGAATTGTTGCTCGTTGAAACATATTAATTATTGCAATAATGATTCAATAGGCTCTCAAATTTGTGCTTATTCAAATCGAAATGTGACCTTTTTTTGGCTCGGCAGTGTATGTTGTGCCTGCCACCACTTGATTTTTCCCTGTTCTCCTTACCTCATATGACATTTTTATGAATATCTGAAACATTTACTGTGACCAATATGCAAAATAGAGGAAATCAGGATGGGGGCATTCTATGGGCTCTAATTTCGTGGCGCAGCCCACGCAGTGGTAATTTCGTCCGGTGCAGCCCGCGCAGTGGTAATTTCGTGCGGTGCAACATCGTGCGCAGCCACTTTGGCAATTTGGTAGACGGACGTGCGCCGAGATGGATGTAGCGGCGTAGTAGGGGGAGGTGTCACATATTCATCACGACGCAGTGACAATTTCGTAGCAAAAGTCTCTGCCGAAACTGCGCAGAAAGCTCGCCAGCTCCAACCTGGTTTACTTTCTGTGCAGTGGTAATTTGGCTGACCGGCGCACAGTGCGCACACGTTACCGAAACCTCACAGGCAGGTTCCCAGAATGTCAGGCACATTTCAATGCAATAAATAATTACAGCAACCACTGTTTAATGTCACTATCTGAATCAGCACATAAATTATAGTATCTATATCGATTGTCCTGATGTCAGATCAAAGGCGGTTGGCACGCGTAATGGAAACTCGACCTGACAGCCCTCAGAGTGTCAGTGCATTCTCTGTGGCATGTTGCGTGCTACACAACATAGCTGTACGCCATGGATGTCACTTTGACCTCACGCAGGAGACATTACAGGACTTGAGACAGAGAGAGGCCGAACTGCATGTGCCGTATCAGCAGGGAGAGCAGCAGCGCGCACAGAAGAGGAGAGACCACCTGGCTGCACGGCTCTGTCCTTAACACTTGAACCGCGATACTAGAGTGAGTAATGCATGGTGTTTCATGTCAGTAAAAGATATGAGTCCATCCGTCCATGACTTTTTCTAAATATGTGTTTTCTATGTTATATCAAAGTTTTGAACTTCTGTTATAAAACGTAAGAGAGTATTGATATTAAGTTACTTTGAGCGCCGTAGCCGCTTTTTTTTGCAGCAGTGGCTTTGACCACAAATACCCTTGTCTGCAACGAATGAGAGAGAGAGAGAGAGAGAGAGAGAGAGAGAGAGGGTGTGTGTATGTGTGTGTGTGTGCATGTGGGCACGCGTGTGCAGGCTATGTGGGTATGTGTCCTTCAGCTGCTTTCACACTGGATGCGAATTGATTTTTTTCGCACGACAGATTACACTCAAAGTCAATGCAAAGACACAAATACACGTTTCGTGTGAATTTGCGTCTTTGCATTGACTTTGAATGTAATCTATCGTGCGGAAAATTAGTTTTGCGTCCAGAGTGAACGCGGCTTTAGAAACATAGCCTGATCTGGGCTACATTTATCTGAACATTATTATTATTATTACTTTTATTGTTATGTATTTTTAGCCTGCTAAGGGTAGCCTATAGGCTTACACAGCTGTCAAGTGCACCCCTTGTTGGATTCGTTCTGGTTGCAGTAGGGCTACGCAATTGGGCAAATGTTGACTCAAGTTGCTGTTTTCTCATATAACGTTTGTCAGCATAATTAATTATTGTACGTAATAAATTCACATGTACTTATTGGCAATTTTTTTTATTTCATTCGTTCAAAAACAATATATTGTTGATTCCCTCTTTATAATTGCACAATATTATGAAATAGCCTCACATTTGCACTACCGTGAAAAAAGCGGCAGCCGCAGTTCTAGGGAGGTTTAGAATTCTGTGGCCGCTTTTGCATCATCAGCCCGTGGAGATCTGTTTGCGTGACCATATATACAGCCACTGCGAGCTTGAACCTCCCGGACCAGAACATCAGTTTCCTCCTGGCTGAAGTTTGGCCACCTGGTGTTGCTGCCGTGTCCTGAATCATCCATGTCAAACGATATTTGCACTGCGCCTCGCCCACGGCGCTTTTAAAGGTGAGGAGAGGAGCTCATTTGATTGGTGAAGATTTGACTCGGCTGTGTCAAACCCACTCACGCCTTCTCTCCTCCCTCTTTGCCACTTGCGCCGGCAGGAGGGACGGAGGCGGTACAGAGGAGTACTTGCGCCGAGCTGCGCCGGCCACGAAATTGCAAAATATGTCTGGACACACCCCGCTGGCGCGGCGCACCCCCCGTTCGCCACGCCTGCGCCACGCCTGTGCCTGGTCTACGAATTTAGAGCCCTATGTGTGAATGGGTGTGTGTGAGGATGTGTTTGAGAAAGAGAGTTA